CTTAAACTGTTTAATTCTTGAATTCACTGCTTCTACCACCCATCGTACCTTTGTTACATATTTCGACTGGTTTACTTCGGTTGTGGTAAATTGTCGACGGCCATTTAAAAAAGGCGGTAAAGCTACATTCAAACCAAGACTTTCCATTGTGTGAACTGAGTCACGAAACCCTCTGTCCACAACAACAATGTCATCCTAAATGGAGGCTACTTAGTTTTTATACATCGTGCAGAATCTCTACCTTTTTCAACCAATTTAATATATTTTCCGTATTTCGATGCAGAATATTGTTCATGATAGAAGCATCATTATTTGAGTAATTTGAACAAAAAGGGCCAATGCAAGCGATGACATAGCCGGTGGTGGAAACAATAATCATCGGTTTCAAAAGCGATCGCTTCTTGTAAAGATTGAATGACTTACGTTGGAATTCGTTGTTCCTCGATTTCTAATGGAAAAACATGTCGTATTATATTCAGAAGAACGAAATCTTTTTCGTTACCTGCATATATATATATGTTCCATCTATCACAACAATCGCTGTGTTAGATTCAGCATCACACATAAGTCGTCGAGCCATTGTTGAAGTATGTTGATCGATAATTTCCTGTCGTGTGATATGATTGAATCCTAAATTGCTTGGTACAAATCGGGTCATCAATGCAGTTCGGACAGTTTTAAGAGATCGAGATACTGCTTTTTTGTCTGGTAGTTGGAATAACACAGCCAAAATGTTAAGCGATAATCCAAGTCGAAGTTTACATAATAAAATGGCAAGTGCATTTCTAATAGATCTATTGCTGGAATTACGAATATTAGAATCAAATAGATATGAAGCTAGATCTTCAAATTGAACTTTTGTTAAACTTGTTAAGATTTGATATTCATCATCGGATAAAGATAAAGGATTGTCAAAATCGAAGCGTTTTTGCTGTTCAAATAAGATTTACCATCTACTTATCAGCAGTTGTACATCACTTGAACTAAATCTTTTGCTTTGTATGGAGAACGGTGCAACTTTGTCGATAGCGTTCTTTGTCAATCGATCATCATCTAAGTATTGAGAACAACACCTAGCACCTTCAGGTATTAGAATATATTTTTTCAAAAAAATCAGATCACGGTCTTCTGGTGATACAGTTCTTGAGTTTCTTTCCATATTAGCCGAACAAATGCAACAAGTTCTGTGAGCGAAAAATTCAATAAAAACATATAAAACTAAAGCGTGTCTTACTTGTGAGATGAAGTGGTGCAGTTCATTGGCAAAGTGATAGTTTTTTGTGTTAAACCGAACCTTGAATTCGTATCGGATGTAATTGCTACCTTTGCTACATCAATAATATCTGAATCCATCGAATCATTCTGAAACATTTGTGGAGACGAAACAAGAACAGCAGTTTCAGAAAAAAAGAATTTAAGTACCTGATTCATATCCATATTATCGTCAGTCTCAGCCAATTCCTCTTCTTCAATACGTGATAATAAATCACCAAAATCAGGATTCTGTCTTTTCCATTTGTAATAAGCAGATCGACAAGCATCACATACTTTTGTTTCACTTGAAATTGATTGCATTGTTTTGATTGATACAAATAAACGTAGGCATGCAGACTTCGATAATCGAGCACTAGAGATCCCCTCAAAACGTGACCCACAGGGACAATAATAGTGCGGCATAACTGTTATTGAACTAACAAATCAATACTTTTCAACAGAAAAACACGATTATCCAAGTGCACCCGGTGATTCCAAATTTTTTCGTGGTGAACAGACACGTTTTAACTTAAACGTCTATTTCAAATGACTTCGCTACACTAACGTATAAAGATAATTCAACACGTGTTAATCGTACGCTTTTTGTCACGAATACAAGTTTTTCTTTCTTCTTTTCTCTTCAAGGATACTTGCGTTCGCCGTTGCAACACTTACAATCACTTATATCATATTCCCGAGTAGCCGAATAATACATACAGTACAGAAGAAGAAAGCATTTCAAACAATATCGCAGCACCAACCACTTCCGAAAATGGACATTTCACTTTTTCACATAAAATTCTAGTTCGAATCAAGATCTATCGTTTGATATAAAATTCATAATGGTTTCGATCAAAATGGGGACTATTCTCTTAGCCATTTTATCAGAGATCAGGATTTTTTATCAAAAAAATTGATTTGTTCCTCTTATCGTGATCTTCCAGGCTAAGATTTTATGAAATGTTTTTACATAAAACTCTAGATCTGATCAAAATCTAGTGAATGAGAAGTGCAAGAAGTTAAAAAGTCGATGGATGTTAGGCGTATTTAAAACGTAACGTAAGGCTAAATCCTCATGTTGAGTATTAAAGTTCGAGCTGTCTGTCCCTACAAAACGTGTAATATATTGAACTGATTTTGCTATAACACACTTTTTGGCATTGTTTTCGATAATTTTGGTAAAGAAAATCCCGATTCCCACAGGGGGCCAATTTCGGCTCTTGACGCCACCCGTCCTTTTGATACAACAATAGTACAGCCATAAAAGATCTCACAACATTGCGTACCCATACCTTCGAATTGTAGGGGACTTGTGCTCCAATCTCTTGTACTTTTCTGTATATTGCTTGGCACGTATGAAAATAACAACCTACGTGTCTAGTATAATCTCTTGAAAACTAAAAGGCATATCAAGGATGAAGTTGGTATCTCTAACGAACTGAACTTACAGTTTGATTTACTGCTTCTCTAAATCCACCTTCAAAATCTGACATGATCAAAGAAGGGGCAAATTGTTTATTCATTCTTTCTGCAGCAGATTTTAACGCTTCCATAATTGTAATATATATTTGAGTATTTTTATGAGTACACAATGCAAATACACATGGAAAAACTCAATGAAACAGACGAACTTGAAATATTATTTCTAATAGAGTCAATATCTCACCTTCATCTTCATAAACAGCGTGCATCGTATAGATTTGTTCAAATTGTGGCGGTGCGGATGCAAATGTACCGTCACAAAATATTACTTCTGATTTTAAAAAAAATTCGAGCTGTCGATTAGATGAAAACATTAAGATACGATCCAAATATGTACTATCACGATCAGCAAGCAAGAAATTTTCTTCGTTTCCATTAAATCGATAAAGGCTTGAGATACAAAATCCATAGGTTTTTGGTATTATTGGAATAGTACTCGAACGTGCCAAATATAATGCAGATTCTATAAAATAGAAGCATCTATAATTGTTTAAAATGAAAAAAAGCAAAACATTCACTCTTCGAATGAAATATTATTTCCTAGAAATTTTATTCCTTATCTTACAATATATTTTTTAATTGATCTCTACATCAAATGCACAAATGAGAAACCAAATTTTTTAGTTACTTAAAGAAATGATGACATCCTAGTCAATTGACTTTGAGTGAATTTAGCACGAGTAACTACATTTTCGTAGACCAAACCAGCAGATAAATGTTCGTTAATAACTCGATGGCGAATTTTTCTGTTATTTCAGTAATTAAGATTTCATCTGGATCAGGAAAATGATTATGTTGTTTGTCATTGTGCTTTATATAGATATCATCGGAAGTAGTATGAACATATGCTCTACAAGCAGAACCGTCTTCACGTCTCCAGTATTTTTTACCAATTTTCTTCTGATTCAAAATATATCTGTACCCCTCATAAATTAGAATATGTTTTCCTTTGGTAGATAAAGTAAATTTTATTTCAGAGTTCTTAAATGATGTTGTTTGAGGCATGCCAATAAAAATTATTTTGAAAAAGCACTTGTGAAAATTGCTTATCTAGATAGCATTGTTGATTGCTCTTTGTTTACATTCACGCATGTCTGAATCTAACTATAGAATCTCCAAGAAAATAAAAATCTTGCGTAAAACGTCACAAGTATTTTACATAAAAAACTAAGAAAAGCCCCTTCACCTGGTGGCATCTGTTTAAACCACACAACAGATTTAAGTGACTTAGTTACCAACTCAGATGGGGTTAATTAATCAAGTCACTATTAAAGTAGTTAGCTAGGATAAAATTCTATATCTAGAATGGATCAAATTTGATTCGATATTTTTCGGTCAAGATTTTTATTCGGCGAAGTTGGAGTCAGCGAAAATAACATTCAGCGAAACTGGAATTTGCCTCACAGACTATCATTTTTTCCATTTTTCTTCATATTTCGATGAAAATTTTTGGCGAAAATCGAGATGAGTGATTTTTCTCATCTATATCAATCGATTGACATTTTCAAGCGCTACAAAATAGAATATATTTGAAATTGAAAATATGTTACCATTGGGGGGAAAAGATCGAAAAATTCTAAATAGATTTTATAGTCGGATACTTTTGTCTATTTTGTTTGCATCAAAATGTATATGTTATGAATGAATAAGCGTTTTATGACATCGGAAAAATTAATTTTATGGGTTTCGATTATGTATATTGGATGTTGTCACGTCATCTATTATCTGTATGTAGATATTAACAGTTCAGTTGCTAAGTTGTACTAGAAAAAGTTAGAAAAATGAAATTCTCATATCTTGTTCTTTTGCTCTTATTAGCTGTTCTATTTTTAGTGAACAGATTCGTCAAATAGAAAAGTCTAGATTTTGAAGTGCCTCAATCGGCAACTTCTTCATAACTAGTGCTATTATCACTATTGGTACTGTTGCTAGCAACACTATATATATGATTATCGTTATCGTTATCGTCCTGTTCTTCGTCGCTTTCCTCTACTTCTGAAAATTTCATACTGTCGTCGATCGAAGCAAAAAGGTGACCAGCTGAAAGCGGGTGAGTGTTTTTGTTGATGTTTACTCGTCCAACACCAAGATGCCATAGCAAAGCTGCCACATGAGCACAGCATCCCACATCCCGCCACCCTGATGTACGGGTACATTACCAGCCAGAAATGGGTTGACTCCGTACAGGGCTTGAATTGTACGGTAGCGATGTGATTTTTGTTGTTACAATGGCGGGATTCAAAACGAGCTCGTACAAGATCATTGTGTTGTGCACAAAGTTCAATGATAAATTCCATGTCGTTGCCCACAAGAGGCGATTGTGTGAGATGCTCTCTGATGTAGGATTTCGCTTGCTTAATTTGATAAGTTCCTGTAAAACAAATTTTAGGTTAGGTTAAATAAATCATTTTTTCACCGTAGCATAAATTTCGTAGTTCTTGTTCTGTGAGTTCTAGGAAAATTAACAGTTGCGCGTCGCATTTTTTCCATTGCAATTTTGTTTCTAGCAACTCAAGAAGACGCAATTGAACGGGATTTGTTGTTTGACACTTTTGAAGCATTTGAGCAGCCACTTCAGTGCCCGAATGTCTATCTTGCACGCAACGTGCACCATACGCATTGATTAATGCGCAATTTATATCAATATAGTTACTAAGGAAGCACAGAGATGAGTTGGGAATAGTTTGGCTAAAATATTTCCATTGTTTCAGTTGTCCATTCACTGAATAAAAGGAGTTTTTAACTAACGTTTCTTACGCATAAGCCCTAGAACTCTCTAGTATCCATCGAACTTTAGTAATGCAGCGATGAAGATTCGCCTCTTCGAGTGAAAATTGTTTTCGCCCGTTTAGAAAACTGGGCATAGCGACCTGAAACCCAAATTGTTTCATTGCTCGAACCGTATCACGAAAACCGCGATCGAGAATTAAAACATCATCATCGTGTAGCCAATTGAGAATATCTTGCTCATTGTTGTAGACACAATGCTTAAATATTGATGCATCGTTATTTTTATAGTCAGACAGAAAGGGACCCATCACGCATAAAATATAACCGTCCTACAGAAAAAATATCATTGAAAAGTCAATTAATGAGTTAAAAAAATCCGAACTCATATTTTGAATATTTTTCATGTTACATGAATAACTCATTGTGGTCGTAAGTATCATCGACTTTACCAAATGTCGATGCTTATGCATTGAATAAGACCTTCTTTGAAACTTATTGTCGCTCGATTTCTCTATAAACATATATGTTGAGTCAACCACCACACAAAGCTGTTGAGGTTTCGTAGTGTGAAGGATTGTGACAATCGCAGTTTGGTGTTGATTAATGCCGGTTACTCGATCAATATGATGAAGACCCAAGTGAGTCGGAAAAAAATCTTTCATCAATGCTATACGTACTTGACTGATGATATGAGAGACGTTGCGTTTATTTTGTGCAACACGATCTGAAAGGAGTGTTGAAGTATATAGGGTAGAAATTTGGATTCACCCCCGCTCCCCAGACTGTTACAGAGAAATTAATTAATCACTTAATTGGTTAATTACTTAATTATTAAATTTCTCTGTAACGGTCTGTGATGGTTTCTAGAGACTTCATACATCATAATACAGACTGTAGCAGAGAAGCTCCACAGACCATCAGTGACCGTGATAGTCGAGTTCTAGAAAAGAAGTTTCATCGTGTTTCACATTTTAATCTCACAGTGATTGCGCTAACAGCTTTTCGTTTTCTTTTCTCTTCTTAACTATTTTTTACAAAATTATATGCACAAATGGTTTCCAAAACAAATCGAAATCAACGTCAACGAGATCGCAAAGCAGAGAAAGAACATTTGTATACCGAATTATTCGCAACATATGAACCAATTCATCCATATCCTCTTCATTTTGTTCATAATGCCGCAACATGTAATGAATTAAAAATGTTCATTGATACTGCTCAAACAACAACAAAGTTCGTCTTTGATACCGAATCGAATTATTTAACAAACTTTTCATCAATAATTCAAGTCATGTTTATGAAACAAATTCAAGAAAATTCTTTGGTATTAATCATTGAAACCGCACGTTTGCCTGTCGAATCGTCATATGAATTTCTTCAACTTAAACAATCATTTTATTTTATTTTTCGAAGTCAATCACATATTTATACTTGAGGAGCAATATTAGATGAATTAACACCTTTCTTGCAATTTAATCTGCTTCATCTTCCTATTTCATCCTACATTCATAATACTCAACAAGTATTCAAATTATGGTTTAATGCTTGATTAGCTTTCCAATCCACATTAAATGACAATGATGATCAAGATAACGCTGATACATTAATAATTAAAGCCCCTGCATTCGATCCGATTATATTTTTACATCCAATTGCAATCAATAATATTAAAAGATCAAGAAACGAAGCTTGGAGCATTCAAGACGCAACAGCTTATATTTTAAATCAATATCTACCAAAAAAATTTACGTTACGGCAATGGTTTATTGAATTAGATGAACGCATATTAAATCGAAATAAAACATTTTCGTCTACATATCGTAGAAACATGATCAGTTATGCTGCAAACGATTTTACGTCTTTAGCCGTAATAATAGTTTATGTATCAATCACATATTCCAAGTGCATCACAATGTGTTCAATATCCATTAGATATAGGCGAGTATAATTTTGATCAGGAATAAAATGGTTCTTCATTATCTTTTCAGGTTCATTTGGAAGATATTACAACATCGGATGATGAAGATATGGATTATCCAATGGTGGTTCATGATATAAATAAACGTCATTCAATGAAAAATGAAAATGCTGAACCATATCATCAACAGTTACACGACGATAACTTACTAACCATTAACAATGATTCAAATCTTTTAAATGATTATATTAACATCAAACATAAAATTCGTCAACGTCGAACAATGCAAGCACAAAAGCGAAGAAACCAAAAAACAAGCATCAGACATCGAAAAAATCGTTACATTTATGAAATAATGAGACCGATCAATATGTCTATCAAGCTGGTGAAAAACAAATTAAAAGAGTTTGGTATTAACTATCTTAATATTAATATACGGCTTGTCCAGGTAACGCGCTACTTCAGTGATGAGGTTTTGATTTCAATATTCGAAATGAACCTATATGCCACGTTGTAGAGCATACACGAAAGTGTAAGAAAGTGTATTTTATTAATCAAAAAATTATCGCTGTTAGTTTTTAAAAATGAATGCATGATGTGTTCATAACTGCATGGTCAATTGCAGTTTTTTACTGTTGCTCTGCGATCAATGGTGCACATTGATGTTTTACTTCCAGAGTTCAATATCAAAAGTTTTGTGAGCTATATAGAGCAGCCTTTCTTTTGATTAAAGAATAAGTTTAAATAATATTCTTCTGCATGGAAAAATTCTCAAAATAAAACTTCATCAATTTTACTGCCACAGCGTTACGAAATGGATCTTATTTTCAAATTTGAACTAGTATCTTACAGAATATAATAAAACTCACTAGTGGATCATTGCTAACTTTTTATGGTGATTTTGACACTCCTTTTTATTTAAAAAATATTTTCTTTTGGGGTAGATAAACGTAACGTTGTGACACAAACTTCATATTTTGTGCTATTTTTACTTTAAATAATTGAGAACTAATTTCAATATTA